ATTTTATTTCTTATACTTCTAGCATTACAATAGTAATAATTTAACTTACCCTTAAAACTATTTCTGTACTTCATTTCTTTACCGCCCTTTTTTCTACGTCATATTTTTTTCTACATTTATTTTATCATGGCCCTCACCACTGTCTAGTCCTAGTTTAAAGTTGCCCTTACAGCTGAGTTATTAGTTCTTTCAAACAAGCCAGCCTCTATAATTTTAAGTGTAAACCACTTACATTTTGGGTAGGTCACCAAACAGTGGACATGCAGGTGCCTGGAACTGAGAGTTAATCGTTCGGTTGAATGTGGCTCCAAAAATAACTATAATGTCAGCTCTAAACTCTATCTTGAAGTAATTGTTACTTCGTATATACCTAAATTAAGACATACGATAATAAACAAGCGATTAAAGTGGTTGCTCCTTGAGATCGGTGGTTCGGAATTAGAGAAAACGTCACACTACCTGTTGTGACAGGACTAAATTATTTAAAGAGGGTTTGTTTGTTTTGAATTTCGCGCAAACCTACACGAGAGCTATCTGCGCTAGCCGTCCCTAATTGAGTAGTGAAAGACTAGAGGAAAGGCAGCTAGTCATCACCACCCACCGCCAACTCTTGAGCTACTATTTTACCAACGAATAGTGGAATTGATGGTCATCTTATAACGCTCTCACGGCTGAAATGGTGAGCATGTTTGGTGGGACGGGGATTCGAACCTGCGACACTTAGATTGCGAGTCAAGCACCCTAACTGCTTTGGCCGTTACTAAGCTCCTCTAATCATCAGTCACTTAAATCAAATCATAATAATGATCTTGTTGAAAGGAGTTTGTTTTCATTTCTAATTAACAAGTTCTAATTTAGCACATGATCACAAATAAATTTAGTTACTCTGTTACCTACTAATAAATTATAGGTATAAGAACAATGTGTCATCACGTTTAGTTTCAACTACAGAGCTAGTTTGTATTGTAATAATAAAAGAACACAATATCGTGTACGGCAATTAGTATAAAAAACACAGTAAACGGAACAAACTGTCAGAAGTCTGATATCAGTCTGTGTTTTTTTTTCACTAGTTTGTATTTTGTTTTCCTACTTAAAGTGTTACCATGTGTTCATTTATTGGCCTAGTATACAGTGTCACTATTGGTTGGTTATAGCTCTAATTTTTAGTTGTAATTACAATTACAGCACTGTGAGTTGAAGTGTAAGTATAAGTGAAGAATTGTCACTAATGTTAGGGTTAGCACAGTTTAGTTTTAGAATATGTTCAGGGCATGGGGTCGTGGGATCGAATACCGGCGCTGAACACACTCACCCTTTCAGCCTTGGGGACGTCATAACGTGACAATCAATCCTACTATTCGTTGGTAACGAATACCCCATGAGTTGGCGTGGGTTTTGGCAGCTATTTGTTTACCCTGTTATCGGCATTTTAAAATTAGGTAAGACAGGAGATTACTTAAGTTTACCATAAACAAACAAACAATATATGTTCAGGTCTAACACAGGGACTAATGTATTGGTAAGATCCGTCCTAGTGCTAACCACCTCTGTAAATGAGATGTGCAAGCTGTACCAAATATTGACACACACACATATTGGGTCGATTGACAGAACATCAAGCAGAGAGAACATTTCGCCACACTCTGTTACTAGAGGGTGAAGACAGCACGGATATGCCTAGTTATCGGTTATAAGTAGGATTGACTGTTGTAAGCTCCTGTTCCAAGGAGACTTCAGAACGGTGAGAGAGTATTTTTATAACCTAGTGATGACCAATGTGTGTCTTCGTCATTCACCTGTCTTTTTCTTTTAGGGTGAGCAAAGCTAATAACAGGAATTCATCGAATGACCTCAACTATCCAGCAATTCTTTGTGTGTGTGTGTATGCTACCAGCACAATATCTGTAACTGACTTACTGCACAATGTTCAGAGTATGTGGTCCTCGGATGGATGGCAGAAAATAAATCAACTGCGTAGTGCAATCATCACCTGAATGTATGTGCCAGGCCATACAGGGGTAAAACAACTAAACAAGGAAGCTGACAAGCTTGCAGGAGAAGCCCCTTTATCAAATCCAGCAGAACTCTGCTGGCAGGATATCGACCTCCTCCGCACTAGTGAGGTAAAAGCAGCAAACATGACAGGCTTTCATTGACATTCAGGAAGAATGAAACTGCTGGAAAATGAAGTGTCGTAAGGTGTCGCTAGGAAAAGCAAAACAAGGAAGAATCAATAGGACAGTGTACAACTAACAGGGCATTATCTTCTATTAATTCTGTATGTGGGGTCAGTGCCTGCTGGTGCAACCCCTATCATTGTCACTTAGTTCTTAACCCAACTTATTTACTGCTACTACTTGAACACTCTGATGATGTAATTAACGCATTGTAATATCGTTTCTTTTGGAATTAATTCATTAACTACGAACAGCCGAATGTGTTTTAATCTAATAATAATGAAACGATATTTAATTAACCCTCGAATAACGACTAGTTTTATACCGTTCATTACATATCGACAGAACTTGCATATTGCGTCATATTAAGTAGTTTTAAGGTTTTATCTGTTACAAACACTTTGTGTATAGAACTGATCAAAACCAAGTTGTTTAAAGTCGTTCATCTCCTATGAGAGGTATCTAGGGAGATCAGAACGGTATATAGTGGGATGAATGACAATAATGATCGTTCTTATGTGAATTTTTTGTTTGTAACTCATACGTTGTTAGTGATCCTGTAACAAAACAAAATCTCGTATCCACAAGCAATTTAGAGCATAAATAGTTTAGAAAAACTTGTTGAAAAAAAAGACGATGGGGCCCATTATTAAAGTGATAGTTTTAGAGTTAAAACATTTCCAAGTTATTTGCATTCACAGCATAGTGTGCTCTCTGAAGACACAAAACTTGTTTTTCCATAAAAACATAAATATATTTTAAAATTATTCTACAAATAATTACTTAAAACAGTAAATAACTCAAAATTCGTTAAATCCTCTTTTTTGATGATGCATTACTTAATAAAAACAGAAATCGTTTGTCATTGAAACTTTCAAAAATCACGAGACTTAATCACTATGGAAACTATAGCTTAGCTGCCACTGTAATTAATGGTAATTGTGTGAGGACTGTACTTTTCAGAGCTATTAGAAAGAAAGATAAAAAAATGGTGAAAGTTAGATTAGAGCTCATGATCCTAATAAAAACCACATGTATTTGCAATGAATTGGAATTCCTATGATTAAGTAAAGAATTATGTAATGTACTAACTGGGGCGTTTGTATCATTAGAATATATTCAACAATAATAAATTTCGGGTTTTTGGAACATTTTCTAATCCACTCCCAATTTATTGATTCAGTTACATTTGCAAGAAAATACATCATTCGGCTTCATAAATGTTTTATTCGAATTTTGTAATGGTGCATTTGTAGGGCATCGAGATATTGGGCATGTCATATTCAATTGTTATATGTTTGTTAGGTTAATACATAAATCGATCAAAAGACATTTTGTATGTAACGATTGGTTTTGGTTGATACAGAATTCATCTAATCTGATAGATGCTCACGCAACTGTAAATTAATAATAGCTTAGAATATGTTTCGACTTACGAGAAGATACAAAGATAGAAATCATAGAACACGAAATCTTTCGTGCCTTACGCTAGGTTTGTTAACAGGCTTCAATGACTTTGGAATAGTTTAAACAGGCTTCAATGATTTTGGAATAGTTTAAACAGGCTTCAATGATTTTGGAATAGTTTAAACAAGCTTCAGTGACTTTGTAATAGTTTAAACAGACTTCAATGATTTTGTAATAGTTTAAACAGGCTTCAATAACTTTGGAATAGTTTAAACAGGCTTCAGTGACTTTGAAATAGTTAAAACAGGCTTCAATGATTTTGGAATAGTTTAAACAGGCTTCAGTGACTTTGAAATAGTTAAAACAGGCTTCAATGATTTTGGAATAGTTTAAACAGGCTTCGGTGACTTTGGAATAGTTTGAACAGGCTTCAATGATTTTGGAATAGTTTAAACAGGCTTCAGTGACTTTGAAATAGTTAAAACAGGCTTCAATGATTTTGGAATAGTTTAAACAGGCTTCAGTGACTTTGGAATAGTTTGATCAGGCTTCAATGATTTTGCAGTACCACAATGCATTTTAGAAAATACTGTAACATATATCAAGTAAGACCATTATTCTGACGACCTCGTTGATGTGGAATAATAATATTTTTAGTTCATTTGTTTATTGTTAAGGTCAAAGCTATACAATGGGCTATCTGTGCTGCCAACCCCAGGTGGTGGAGTATGGTTTTCAGTTGTTGTTGTTTGTAGTTATGCACAAAGCTACACAATGGGCTATCTGTGCTTTGCCAACCACGGGTATCGAAACCCGGTTTCTAGCGTTGTAAGTCCGCAGACATACTGCTGTGCCACTGGGGGGAGGCACGATTTTTAGTGTTGTAAACCCTCAGAATTACCACTGAATCACATGATGGGGGTATATATATATATATATACGTATATTTAATGACCATCTAACTTATTCTCTTTTGTTTTTAGGAAAAAATACATCTAACAAACTGTTGTTAATGTTCTTATATCCAATTTCTACTTATTATATTTTATTTATATTTTTAAATTAAGTATCGAAACTTTTATATAATAAGTTGTTTATTTAACTTGTAACTTACAAAGAATTCTGAGAAAGAATTTTGAACCTCTGCTGCGTCTGTTTAAAGAATATAATAAAACGTCTGGAGCGCATACCAGTTAGTAGCAGAGTATTGATTCCTGTACATGAGTCGATCAGCAACGGAAAGGTTGCGCAGCGCATTCTCGCTCTTTCTTAAGCCTAACTATGCAACATTCATTTATTTTTGTCCTGTTTCTGGTTGTCTCCGCTAGTCGGCGTTTTCCACATAAACATCCTAGTCTAACATGAGCATCTGTCACAATTTAGCCTGTTGCTGGGGGAGTAGTGATAGTTTTCATACTGTTAATAGATACACACTTATAATGAATTATAATATAGAAGACCTAGTTTAATTCGAGAACTTACAAAGTATCACGAAAGATGCAAACTTCCGCCTATCGTTCGCTCGATCGGCTGCAGCCTGAGTTTTGGCAATAAACCCAGACACTACTACTCAAGGTTCTACGGCCGAACTGTCGTGAAGTCTAGAAGACGGTTAATAGGAAAGCCACACGTTTAATTCATCTGCGTTCTGGTTGAACTGACGCGGTATCATTTAATGCTTTTTATTTACGTTCTAAAGGATCTTGTGCACACAAAATGTCTGGCGATAACGTTTTCTTACCGGTGTGAAAAGCATGCTTAACATGAGGTGATATTTCTAGTCGTAGGTAAGTTCTTCAGCTCTCTTTTTGTGCTGTGTTAGGAAACCAAGTATTATGAATTAATATACTTCTGATCAACTGTGCCATTTGTAACTAGCATCTGGAAGTTTGGATTTGATGAAATAAAGAAATAATCACGGCGAAAATATATTTTTTGCAAATAACCTAACGAGGGGTTTACCTTTGGTGTTGTTGTTTTTTTTTATCTTGGCTGTACTTAACGCAGCGGCGTATGTTAAGTCTATCGCATTAAAACTAATGCTTGAAATGTAGGTGTCGTTAAAGACACAAGGTAACTGAGATATATATATATATATCGTAAGAAATGTTTTTATACCCTAGGTCCAATATCCCAAAGATGAATTCAAAAAGACAGAAAATGTTTTGTTTCAGATTTGCTTTCGAAGAGACCTCGATACAGTTTTGTTTTATATTGAACACCGTAGGATATGCGTTTCATATTCAATACACGTCTATTTTTTAGGATTTTAATGTAAAACCCTTTATTCACCACTAATAACCTGAAATTCTTTATTTGTTGGAACGATTAATAATTAAACACCTATGTATTATTTATATTGCCATGGGAAGACATTATTTGTCTTTGTATTTATAAATATTGTGCAAGTGTTGTGTGTTGTAACGAATGATGCGAGTTAATGAGGACTTGTCGTGGACGAAAGGCCTCGTCACCAAGTGTTGTGTGATGTAACGAATGATGCGAGTTAATGTGAACTTGTCGTGGACGAAAGGCCTCGTCACCAAGTGTGTAACGAATGATGCGAGTTAATGAGGACTTGTCACCAAGTTTTGTGTGATGTAACGAATGATGCGAGTTAATGAGGAATTGTCGTGGACGAAAGGCCTCGTCACCAAGTTTTGTGTGATGTAACGAATGATGCGAGTTAATGAGGGCTTGTCGTGGACGAAGGGTCTCGTCACCAGACGATATAGAAAGACGTGCTTGACAAATCGTTGTGCATTCTTATTTACTTTCATTCTTAAGTTCATAAAATTATTTCCTGAACGTTTGGGATTCCAAAATTTAAAAGATTAAATTGTAAAATGTTTCCTTGCGCGATGTTTACATTGAAATATAAAATAAAACATTCTATAGATATAATATGAAAATTTTTCTTTAGAATTAAAGTTCTCCCAAATTCTTACGGGTGACGAAAGGAAGTTATAGGATGGTGATTGTAACTACTATCAATACCTGAGACGTAACTATGTTAATCTTTCTACTTTGTATAAATTACTCTCGTAAAAGTATTAGTATAATATGGAGGTATACATGTAAAGAGGTCTTAGTGGCAGTATACAATACTCACGATCCTATCAAATGTACTTATATAATGCGAAAGAAGGTTTCAACTGACTTGTCAACACACTGACTGAGAAATAACATGAAATTAGTGTTTCCAGAATATTGAAATCCTTCGGCATTTGCTTTGGAGATTAAAACACATTCGTATCTAATATTCTTAATACAATTCACCAACCGTGCGAAGAATAACTACACGCATTCTATTGACTTAAAGTCCTCCCAACAGAAAGAACTAGTGGCAAGCAGCTTCATAATCTTGACAACTACTTCTTTGGGCTTATAAAGCTCCCGAAGTTTCGATCAAAGACAGAATTACAAAGATTTAATAAGGTGCTCATACTAGGCCACCTAGTGTGAGATAAGACATAGAACTAACTAGCTTACTGTTTGATAAATCAGTTCCTGAGTCACAATATACTTGTTACGCTCTATTATTTAAGTCAGCTTCATTTTTTACTATTTTGATCGCTAGGATTTGATGACGTTTTCTAGATAGTGGTAGTAAAGTGAATTGCAGTAGAAATATTTCGATTCCTACTTGCTTGGCCTGATGAAAGCAGATGTTTGATTGCCAAAAACTTGTTTCTCTGAACCACTGTGCAATCAGGATATTCGTCTGTAATATTTTTCACCGTATGTTATCTACTAATGGAATTTTCCTTACAACTTAAAAACCAAAATTTCATTTCTTGAGGTACATCGTCATATGAACGCGAACCTGTTAGACATTGGTATGCTAATAGAGTGCAGGAGAACTTTTCCATTTGTTGGAAGTCTGTCATGTACACTCTTCACGTGAAGATGGTCATCCGAAATCATCACCTTAATGCTGCACGGTACGTAGTATATTGTTGTTCAGTCGACAACGTCATTTCATTGTTGCACGGTACATCCTGTTGTTGTTATCTATAACTGTTTTACACACAAGCCATATATATATATATATATGATTATTTGAATAGCTACTATTGAGTAACCCAAAAAAAAACACATTTGTTTTTAAATAAGCACATCATGATCTGTTAATTATGTCAGAAACATTCCAACCCGCATTTCGAGATAACAAAATAACAATAAAGAAACTAGCGAGCCTTCTCGAAATGGCCTTTTCGGCATCGATAAAAATACGTTTAGTACGCTCAGCCTGTGATAAAGAAATGATTGAAGTATTTTCTTACTTGCAGTATTCAGTCTGTCAGAATTCTTTGTTGAGAGGTGTATGTGTGTTTACAAGAACAATAAACCGTTTCGTTAATTTAATGTGCAATGCAACTTCTTTTGTTATTAATATCACTACATTGTTTCCGTGAGTGTTGTCGTGTTACAGTGTACTGGCATTTTAACTGTCTTGCAAGATCCTACAAATTGTCTTAAATCCTGTATTGTCACAGTTTAAAACACGTGTAGTTACAGTAAACTAAGACAAAACTGAACTTATATTACAGATATAACTAATGATCTCCTCTTGATAAGGTATTTAACCAAAACGTTATTTTGTTTTTTGTCTGAAGAACAAAAACGTCTGGGATAGAACTACTTTATCTAGACCTGTACGTTAACAGGATTATAGGCTTGTGTTTAGTTATGCATACGATACAAATTTCTACTGTTTAGTATATATATATATGTATGTTAAAAAAACTAATCTTTTTAAAATTAAAATAGTGATAAAAGTAACGAATCGCTTAAATTTATTAATTGCAGTAATTTTTGTTGTTACATATTTAATTATGTTTAGTTGAATTTTTAAAAGATTTCTTTCTTTCTTTTTTTCAAGAAATTATTCAAGTTTGGAAGATAGTTTAAGTATTTCTTTAATGGATCCGAAATTACATTCAATTTCTCGGTGGGCCAGACCGTGACCCCGCGAGTGTAAGTTTACGACTCGTTGTCTCAAAATTATGCTCTGTTCTTTGGAGTATAGCGGCTCAAGAGGAGACGGTGGGTGCTGTTGAATAGTCTGCCTTTCCGCTTGACCATTAGTTCAAAGTTAGGGACGGCTAGCGTAGATAGCCTTCTAAGCATAAAATATTTTTGCAGAGATATATCAAATTAATTCATTATCGGTTTGATCATAAACTCTTAAAACGTAAACATAAACTTCACTATTACATATGTGGCTCAATTTATAAGATAATTATAAAATAATCAGTTGTTGTGCGCTACAGCAAACATAGTGCATTCAACGGTGTGAATATTAGAAACAATTATTTTTTTTGAATTTAACTAATGACATGGACCGTTTTACTTTGAAGTTAGTTTTATCAAATTGATTGTCTGTAAGGTTTAAAATGATTATGAATATTAATATCATTATTAATTTTAAACTCATTAAAGTTATTTTGCATTTCTAAATTAGTGTATGAATTTAAGACTAACCCAAGTCTCTTAAACTGGCTGAACTTCATGAGTCATTGTTGGGATTATGGCCGAAAGTACCCAACTTATGATTTAAATGCATCCTAATAATTATAAGTTTGGTTCCTTCAGACATTACATACTTTGTGTGAGATTGTTTTTTTTAGAATTGGTTTTATAAATTTATTGATTTTTTTTGTGTTTTAATTCCGATGTTTCTAATTAGCTTATTTTCGATAAGAGGCTATTAGTAGCGATAAATAAAATTCTCCCTTGAAATGTGGCCTTAATTACATGTTATTGTAAGGCCATCTCCCCTAAAGGTGAATATATGTCGTTCTGTGCACTTTTGAAGTTGAATTTCATCATTTAAAACAAAATGAAAATAATTTGATTCATTTGTTGTATTTTTATATTTTGATGTCATAAACATATTTTCATTTTTAATAATATTATTCACATTTTCAATGTTGAATGTTTCTGATACAGTTGTGTTTTACACGATTTTTATTATTAACATCATATGATGTGCAATAATATGTTGAAGAACGTGCTTAAATTTACTGATTTCGAACGTACATTGTTTGTTTTTTGTTTAGTTTTATAATAAAGCATCTTATACATCTGCATATGTGTTCAAGAAACAATAGGGGGCGCACTTCAGACGACCGACTTTTCTCTATGAGGTTGCAAACGTCCGTTTAGTTTGAAGTTTATATGCGAGATAAAATGATCAAATTATTTTCCTCGTGTCAATCTTCACAGCGGTACAAGAAATTTCTGGAACAGGAGAGTGTAAAATATGGATAAGGAAAGTTTCAAGTTGTTTTATTGGCCTGAAACTCAGTAACCATTATAGATTATAACATTAACGTTCTGTGACGTTCAGCGAGCGCAATTTAAGTCCTGCGTATCAACGTGTGCACTTATAAACACTAATTATTTTGGAAATACAGTTAGTTAACTGAAAGTGTTGATTTTCGTGGCGGAGATTATATTATATTGTGGTTTCTATCTTTATTTTTTTTTTGTTAGCATCGGCCATGTGTACCTTATGCAAATTGATATGGCTGTGTGTATATTGGTATGTAGAATGTTTTTTTAGGTTAGTTTTATCTGTCTGATAAAAGCGCTGAATAATTTATGATTAATATTAAATATATTATTACATTTTACGTTTGAAATAAAAAAAAAATATATCGGTGTTCTCTAAAATACATCAGAACAAATCCCTGGCGTGCAATATTGTTGATCCGGTATGGCCATATGGTTAGGGCATTCGACTCGCAATCTGAGAGGTCGCGGGTTCGAATCCCCGTCC